GACTCTAGAAAGATCATTGTTACCGAATCCAATGTTGATGCTGCCTGGTGCAACCGTGTTTACCGAAGACACTCTTCGTAACTTATGAGCCTCTCTCAGCCTGGATCTGTACAACTCTTCAGACTCTTCATCATCCTCTGACCTTCCGTGTATAGCATGGATAACCTTTACCTGACCGCCCTCTACCCGTCGAGGGTTAACCTCCCGAGGTTTTACGTGCTCCTTCGTGGCGAGATACTCCATCAATTCTCCTCTCGCTATCATGCTTTCTACTTGTCGCTGTAGGGACCTGCAGTCATTGGTGGTATGCCCATAATCTCTATGGTAGGCACAATGTTTGCTTTTGTCCCTCTGCTCTAAGGGTTGCTTCATGGGCTGAGGAGTCGCGAACCTCGTCTTATTCTCTTGGAATAGGCGCGCCAAGGTAGTACGGAGAGGGGTAAGCCTGTCCTCTGTCCTTCGCCTTTTCTCAGACTCTTGGGTGACTTGTGTGGCGGTATGAGGAACCTTCTGCATCCTTGTGCTCGCAGCTTTCTCTCGAGACTTGTTTTCCACCGTGACGAGGGTAGCGTGCTGTGCACGGTGGGCTACGTTTTCCTCCAACCGAATGTAGATTTGTGCCCTAGCGTTCAAAGTCTACATATCCGGGGGGGAATATTTGACCAAGGATGTGTGAAACTTGGTTCCCTGGATCATTGCCAACTTAAATGTTTCGATTGCCGTGGCAGGATGGCAATCTGCTATCTCCGAGGCCTCCATGTTAAACCTGGATAAAAAATCTTGCAGAGTTTCCCCTTTCCTTTGCCTTATGGTAAAAAGGCTGGCGATACTTTTCTTCTGCTTCTTATTTCCGCAATACTGGGCTAAGAACATAGTGCACAAGGTCTCATAGTCAGGGATAGACTTGTGTGGCCTATTCCTGAACCATTCTAACACTGCTCCGGTTAAACTGGTAGGAAAAACCTTACACATCCACGGATCGTTATGATCGTCCAGTGCCATCTTTTGTGCATAATGATCGAGATGCCGAGAGGGGTCTCCTGCCCCATCGAACTGGGTGAAGGATGGCATAGTGAACTTCTTCGGCCTTTCCACAAGGTACACTTCGTCAGTAAAGGGGGTCTTGACCAAGGAGTTCTTGTGCTCTCTAGCCATCTCGGTTGGTGTCTGGACTCTCAAGAGCTTCTTTTCGTCGAAGGCATCTTGTACCCGTGCGCCATCTGGAACGCCATTGGACCATACCGTAAGCCTATGGCTGGACTCGGCCTGTTCGTCCTGTGTGCGATGCGGGAGATTATCCGAAGCAACCGCCTCGGACCTCGTCCCTTGCTTTTGCTGAACCTCACTAGGTCGAGCCCCGTTGGGTGGTGTCTCGTTGGCTGGAGGCTCGTGAACCGGAGGTAACTTCCGAGTGGGGGGTGGTGCCGCAGCATCGCCTGGTGGCGGTTGTGGCGTTAGCTTGGCCATGGCCGTGTGCAGCGTATGAGTCTGCTGCTGAAGCGCAGCTATCTGGGCAACACTCGTATCGTTTGCTTGCCGGAGTGTCTCAAATTGGTGCAAGAACTCTTCTCGCATCTTTTGCATCAATTCTATCTGTTGATTCATTGCTGACTCTCCGTTTGACATTCCAGACACGACTAAAGGATTTAATTTGCAAAACAAGTGGGAGTATATTTTTATACGCTTCCCACAGACGGCGCCAAAGTGTAGGTGCAAAATTTCGCCCAACCAATAATGATTGAGAAAAATAAAACAACTCACTCAAAAACAATAAAAATAAATAAGAACAGTGTGTAGAGAAGCGTAGAATTGCTTGATCCTTTATTGGAGGTCTTAGCCTCTATTTATATACAAAAGATTGCAAAATTATGGTAGGACTCGCGTTGCTTGCCCTCCAATTCTTTCTATATAACCATTCTTTTCTAATAGAGTTCTTTCCATTGTCGAATTTTCCATACATAGAGATTGCCTTGTACAGAACTTCCTATCCGAATTTTCCTTCTACAACAAATCCTTCAAATGGTAGGATTTGTGCATTCTTGGGCTGAATATATTTTGATCCGGCTGGGCTTGGGTAACAGGCTGGATGTTAAATACTCATACGCTGGGCTGACGACAAGCTGGGCTGATGACTTCTTGATTCGGCCTTGATGGAAGTTGGAGGACAAATAACAATGGTCTTGGGCTGTAAATACCCTCCACTTGGGCTTGAGCATGATGGGCCTTATATGTCCTTGGAATGTAGATATGGGTAGTGGTGACGTGTGCGTTTTTTATTGGAGGGAGTTTTTTCCCTCCACAATAAGGAAAGACAAACATTCTCGGAAAACCATCTATGTAATTAATATATATGTTTAGACTTTCGGCAAAGCATCAGTAACATGGTTTATGAAAAGGTAATTAAGTGGATCAGATGTTTATAATCATAAATAAATTACTGCATCATTCTAATATTGCTTGAAAATTAAGTTTGTAAATCCCCATACTTTACTCTTATCATCAGAAGAATTGCTCCCCAAATAAAAGACTGCATCACCCTTGTTCAATCCAAAAGTCTTCTTCGGCATTCCAAAAAAACTTGTTTTTTCTTGTGATCCATTTTTCCTCCTTTTTTTCTTTCTCCTTTGGTTTGTACATTTCTTTAGTTCTTCCAATCATTAGATCCAACTGTGGAATGAAAGTACTGATCAGAGAAGGATCATTCTGGGCAAAGGCTGCAACTGTTGAAAAATAAACTTGATTTTAGTATTTAATTAGTCATTTCAAGTATTTGTGTACATAATGTAAAAGGGCATTTAACATATTAGTGGATAGTAAATTATCTTAATGAGAATTAGTATATGAGAGTTGGTGTGATGGTGAAGGTTATGTAAAATCAAGAATCATGAGAGTTAAGACTAAATGGTTATATTAGTAAGAGTTATACCTACTAAATATCATGTTAGTGGGAATAGTGGGTGTAATTAAGCATTTAAATATAATGGATACACATACATGTGTAAGGCCTATATAATCATGTATTTTAGTCATTTTAGAAGAAGAAAAAGTTGGGAATAAGTGAAATAATATATTTCTTCTTCCATTTCTCTTTCAAATTATATAGAGTTATATTTGTTTGTATAGCCCATTATTTCCAAAAAAAATGGTATCAGAGCCTAGACGATCCTGAAAGCCTAACAAAGTTGATCCTAAAAGGTTCAACATTTTAAGGAAAACATGTTTTTCCTTGATGATGAAGAAGAAGGGAAAATGTACTTTCTCAGTGAGAAAATGATGTTCTCTAATTACAAGAGGATGAGAATCATCATGACTTCATACCTCAAAGCATGTGATTTGTGGGATGTTGTTAGAGAAGAGTCAAAGAATGGTATGTCCAACAAGCTTCGTGAAAAGAAAGAAAATAAGGTATTGGTATTGTTGCAAAAGGCAATATATCAAGAAATTTGAGAGTATTTTAAAGAGTTCAAAACTCTAAATTGTATTTGGAAGAGGCTCGAGACCATCGTTTCTAATCATAGAGGTGAATCACTACCCATGGAGTATTGGGTACAATGCTTTGAGGATGATGAGTTTACAAAAATTGATTATGAAAGTCATAAGGAGAAATTTGTGGAGAATGAAGAGGCCTACAACATAAATGAAGTTGAAGAAATTGAAGATTCAAAAGTTGAACACCAAAGTGAAATGGTGAATAAGGAAGAGATAAAGAAAGGTGTTGAAGAAGAGATTGAAAAAGTGGAGGAGATTGAAGTGTAAAGAAAAGTTAAAGAAGAAAAAAGTGCTAAAGAAGAGGCAAAAGTTGATGAAATTGGTGAGTTAACAATTTCAGGTATGGTTACAAATTTCACCTAGAAAGAAGTTATATTTGACTTATTTGATAAAATTATTATTTCTTCGTATTCATCAAATAATATTTATTTTGTGGAGAATGATGAATTTCTCTTGAAGAAAATTGTTTTAATTAATTATGACATTGAAGCTAAAGGCGAGAAGAATTTTTCTATTTTTTATTGGAAATTTGGAACCAAAAAAAAAAGTCATTATTGAAAAACTATCTCTGAATAAATTGTCTTATTTGAGCTGACCTCCTAAAAAAAGGGGGAAAAAAAAAATGGTATAACACAGGGAAAAAAATAGTAAAGGAAATAAAGAAGGTTAAAAAAAAATTAAAATTATATAAATGGTAGTTATGACATTACAAAATAAGGGATGATGTATTAATTAGTTTTCTCTTTAAAAAAAAAAGAAGGTGAGTGAAGTGTAATTTGAAAAAAGAGGAGTACCTCTCTTGTTTTATTATAATTATTTGGTAGGAAATGTAAATGACAAAAATATCCCTAATATTTGAATCTCCTGCATAAGAGTTAGGGGCACTAATGTTATTTTATTTCAAAAGTGGAGTGTATTTAAAAAATAAAAAAAAAAAAATAGGAAGGAATACTAATTATATTAGTAAATGGAGAGAGTCAAAATTTGACATTTCAAAATTTATTGGAGACACTAACTCAGTTGGCTATCAAATCATCTGCCTGTTATGCAAAATCAAATCAAATTAATAGTTAGGGACAATAACATCATTTTATTTCAAAAGTGATGCTTGAAGAGAATTACACAATTGTCCATGCACCACTGTGACTCATCAACATAGCATTAAAGTTGTCCAGTATATTATTCACATGAAACTGCCCACGTCAAGATCGAACCCCTTCATCCATTAGTAACATGTACTGTATTACTTACTGTGCAACATTTCACAAAGTAATTACCCAAAAAAAAAAAACAACAACAACATTTCACCAAGTTGAATTAAAAAGGGACCCTTAAAATATTTTTTTAAAGGAGCTGCAACATATGATTCAATGTTACAGAATGCGTGAAAGTTTTGTATGATTAGTTCATTTCATTTGTAAGAGAAAGATATCCTAATATAAGGTTGACGCATCTGTATTTATGAACTCACCTAAACACACTCCATGAAGAGTGAATACCCATGAGATGGATTTGTAATTCCAAGTGGTCCAATATATATTTGATGTGAAAGGAACACACTCTTCTTTTATTTTTTATTTATTTATTTATTTATTTATTTATTTTTCATTTCTATGAAAAAAAGTAGTGTAGAACATTTCTTTTTCTTAATAAGAAAATCAACACAAGCCCCTGTATCTGTAATTCTATATGTACCCATTTTCGGATTCAAACATAATAATCAACGTTTTATTCAATCCAGTAATCAATAACTAGTATATTCCTATTTCCTATTTCCAAGTTGTTGATAAATCAATGTAACATCTATAACCATGCAAACAGAATGTAAATTCTGTGTCCAACTTTTACTTGAATCATCCACTGAGCAATCTAATCTAATTCTTCTTCATAGGTCAAGACTCAAGAGTTGTCGAATATTCATCGGTGATATATCATCCGAACCACCATCTATAAGTCGCTTCGCGATGATAGCATTAGCAGCATCAGTTGGATGAAAAGGGTCCCAGAAAACAAACTTGGATCTGTCCGGACAAATTTTTGATGAAGGACCACATGGGACCAAACCCCCAAATCGCCCAGCAGTGTAGCAGCAGGAAGAATTTGAATTCTCAAAACCTGTGGAATACAATATATATTAAGCTTCACCAAAGTAGAAAACAAGCAAAAACAAAACCAAAACAAAAAAACATTACCAGGCTTGAATTGTACTCACCATATGACATGTAGTTTTGAATGATATCATCTACAATGCGGTAGACATCTGCATAAACAAACTTGGATTCAACTAGATCTGAACTGAGCTCCGCGATAAGGCTCTTCAGATCAGAGTTGAATAACTGGGCTAACTCATTTGAAAAAGCAACACAGCTACTTCCCGCAGACGGATTAAGATCCCTCTGGAAGGGAATACACCCAATTGGCCCGACATTTGCCACAAGAATCCTTCTAGCACCCATGTCATAGAGTCTCTGGAAAATATTTAGATCTATTAAGAAGTTTTTGAACGAAACAATCAAATGTGTGTCTAGAATTATTTATGGAGTAGCAAAGAAGTTCTACCATGAGCTGTATTCTAAATCTTGAAATCATGGCACCCACAAAAATTTCTGGAGGAACAAATTGTTGCTCAACAGTTGAGACAACAGGAGTTAAATAGTTGTTGATGAAGTCATTTGAGCCAATTGTAATTGAGAAGAGAGAATTTTTAAATAGCTTCATTGCTGCAGGAGCACCTATATTTGCGATTATGTATTGCCTTGTATTTGCAAAATTATCCATCTGCGCATCCAAATTGATTCTACCACCCTATGGAATCAATACATATTGTACTTTAGTTTAGTTTGTTAATAGTATCTGTGTCTAATACATCAATACAAAAAATGCACCATATGTCATAAATTCAACTGCAAAGGATACCTAATTATTCGGAACAAGACACCCCACTGTACATTGTTTCTTAACTGATTCACACACACTTTACACTATTTTTTCTATAACCAAGTTGATGAAACATCATAATGCTAGAACTCGTAAAATCTACAAGATTTCAACAAAATCTTTTCGCAAGCAAAAGAAATTGGATAAGAAGCCTTACAAAGATCTTCCCGGTGTGATTTAGAATACCTCCTCCACCAGAAGCATAATTGACACCCTGCAGAATCACAGCTCCAACTGTAGTTGGAGCCAAATATGGAGGTGTAAAATCTTTAAAACACAATACTTCTTGTCCTGGTAAAGAAAATAAATAAATAAATAAACAAAAAAACAAATTACAAAAATAAACACTTTCAACATTTATATTATCCCAAATCCACCAATAATCGGATAAAGAGAAAAAGGTAGAGATTATTTAAGCAAAAGCAATAAGAAGTAGAGACGTGCCTATAATGTCGACTATAGTTCTTCCATTTGTGTATCTTCCTGTTGGCATTCCAAAATCAATTCCATTTGGAATGAAGTTAGCTTTGGACAGAGATGCAATGTAGTTGTTGTTTCCCACCTCAACCAAGGAATCACCAAAAACAAAATTAGCAGGGACATTATTCGCCAAGCAAATCCTCGCCAAGATCAAGGCTGTCAATATTCGGAATACAACGCCAACAATGATTTCTCTATCTAAAAGAATACCCATTCCAACGAATATTAGGAGATTAATATAAAAACTTTATTTTTTCAAATGAATACTGAAACACAAGGAAGAAAAAAAATTATATTTTTCGATGCAATATCAAATAAGTGAACTCCCAACTGAAGGGAGGCAGGAAGAGTTATTGAAAGACTCAGAGATGCACAGTATGTCATGAAATATAAATTGAACAGAATGGTAATGCTTTCAAACTCACAGTAAGGCTGTAAAAATTATATTAAAGACACTAAAATGATCTTCAAATTCAACTCCTCTAAAAACAATTTCTGGGACTTGGGGTTTTTTTCTTTTCAAATCAAAAACACAAATGAACTGAAATCAAATAAGAAAGATCACAATTTCGAAATGAAAATTTATTCCAGCATTACATTAGCCCACCCTCAACAACCAAAACAGAGATTCAAACACTTGCCCTTCTTTGAGAATATATATCAAACACTTTATGAGCCATTTATTAGTATGGGTATTTCAGACAACACAGTACAGAAGTAAACACGTAACCATAACAACAGAAAGACCGTTCAATGTTTGGATGATTTATGATAACAAGAAAAGCAGAGTTTGTACAAAAACATACGCTTTTATAGATCAGAGTGTGAGGACAATTTAGTGGGTAGAGAGAGAAACACATTGAATGCACTGCGAATTCAGCACCAACCCGTGAGAGATAGCAACATTTAGCAGCTGGTGGCAATTAAAACCTGTGATCTAGGCGTTACCAAAAGTCAAATTCTAGATCATCAAAAGTCCCAAATTTCGCGGAATCATTTGCACTCACTTTTTGCTTAAAATGTACTGTGCGTGTTTGTATGTGTACTTGAAATGGTAGTGGGACATCTACTCTCACTCTCACCAATAGTAGTCACTTAGTTGTGCGTGTTTGTATGTGTAAAATGTATACTATAAGATGGATAGATATATATGTATATATAAGTATTATAAAGATAGCGGACCAACCAGAATTTTAGGTGTTGCCATAAGTCTCTACACACCGTGTGTTTCCCTCATGCTGATGATTTAATTTGTTGACCTAACGGCTTCTGATTTAATTTACAAGTTTTACCCTATATGACTAGAAATTAATAAGACCCTTGGCTAGTGCCATTTCATGGTATTGTCCCATCAAAATTAAAGTTGGTACTGTATTTCTTTATAATATATATATAATACGATAATTATTATTATTATTTTTAATTAGAGAGTTTGAATTGAAACTTCAAAACCAAATAGTGATAATCAAAGATTATCTAATAATTTATTATAATACAAAGACTTTATAAACTCTTTTATAATTATTGAAACATAGAGGTATAAAGTTATATTAATACTTCAAAAGTTGAAAAATTATATTCTTTTTATTTAAAAAAGAATGTCTTTTTTAAGAATTGTTTGAGTCACAATTCTCAAATTGTTTGAGTCACAATTCTCAAAAATACATTTATTTTGAAACAGGATTTTTTTTTTTTCATTTTTTTTTTTTTTTTTTTTTTTTTTTTGACACTGATGAGAAATATGAGAGTAATCTATAATAAGCCTTCGAATCACATGGGATGCAACAAATACAAGTGATTTGATGAAAAAGTCAAATCTTTAAATTATGTCGGGATTCCAAGATAGTTAGGCTCTTATGCGAGGAGTGGGCCCACTCCACTTGTGGGTTCCATAAATTATCATTCATAACTTTGTTGGCGCCATCAATTGTGGTAGGTCATTTTCTATCATTTGTCCTAGAAATATATATATATATATATATATATATATATATATTTCCATGATGCCTGTTATTTATGTAAATTAACCAATGACCGTTAAATTTATGGGAATGGTAATAAAACCAAAGCATAAGATGCCAACCACACAACAACCGTTGGAGGCCCTCTATTGTAGACAGGCCTTCCAATAACTAACTTCCCCTTGACCACTCAGTGACATAATTTCACCTTCCAAACAACCACCTTTCAAAATTGAAAAACTTTCCCTCTAAAAACACCTCCATCCCAATTCAACAAAGCTATTGCAATCCCCAAAACATGCCTTCGCCTTCTTGGCATTCTTCGTCGTCGACATTCAGTGGACCAAATTGTATTGCCTTTGCATTAGTTTTCGCTGCATCCGTCTCTGTCTTGAATGTTGTTCATGGCTTCTCTGCAAAACCAGTCATTGACTCTCCTCTCTTGACGCGTAAGATTGGCACTAATCGTACCATAATGGTTGATATCAATGGGAAAGGGAACTTCAAATCCGTCCAAGCAGCAATTGATTCTGTTCCTGAAGGGAATTCTAATTGGATTATCATCCATGTTAGGAAAGGGATTTACAGGTGATCTCTCCAAAACTCTATATATATATTATGAAATATTGCCGATGTTAGAGATGTTCAAGCTCTATAAGCTCTTGTGTTTGATAAAATGCTTCTGAGCCCATTCCTTCCACAAGCTACTTAATATAATTGGACATTAGACACCATATATGTGTTCATGAGTCTTTGTTTATACAAAATTCTTACTGTCTTTCCTAATAAGCTTGGGTCTTTGTTTGTACAAAATTCCTACTCTTTTCTAATATAATACATGTCTAGCAGTAGTACTAAAAGTCTCAAAAATACTGTCAAACTCTTGTAAGAAATACTCTAGTTTCTTCAAGTTACAATTCACTGTCTCCAACCTTATAAGTAGCTCAAGAATTCTAAGATAACAATTTTCCGACTTCATTTAGGTCTCTGCAAATTTTCACACACAGAAGTTTATGTATTGGGACCGAAAAAGTAAGGATATGCAAGTTGTCTACAGGGAGATTAATGACATGAAATGGTTTTGAATTCTGAATTGCAGAGAGAAAGTGCAGATCCCGGAGAACAAACCCTTTATATTCATGAGAGGGAATGGAAAAGGTAAAACAGCAATCGTGTGGTCCCAAAGCTCTACTAACAACACCGAGTCTGCCACTTTGAGAGCCGAAGCTTCAAACTTCATTGCCTTTGGTATTAGCTTTAAGGTTCATTCTTTCTATCTCTACATGTATTTCTAGTTGTGGATAGTCTAATTATTGGTACCTTTTATGAGAAAGAAATACGGAGTAAATTTTTTTCATCTAAATCATCGTAGTCATTACTGTGGTTTTTACAGAATGAGGCACCAACCGGGGTTGCTCATACCTCTCAAAATCAGTCAGTGGCAGCATTTGTGGGTGCAGACAAGGTTGCATTTTACCATTGTGCATTCTACAGCACCCACAACACTCTCTTTGATTATAAAGGCAGGCATTACTATGACACTTGTTACATTCAAGGCTCTATTGACTTCATATTTGGTCGTGGACACTCCATCTTCCATGTGAGCGCTTATCGTATTCAAACTAGAATTGCATTTCAGAATATCACATCTATACCATTTTAAAGGGACAGAAAGTGGCTTCACCACAAGTATAGCACAGAAAGTTAAAATCTATTAATAACCCAAATAAGAATGGGGATGTAACAACACAAGAACCACACATGCATCTAGCGTTGCCAGTGTCTTATGGGACATTTATCTGTGGTTGCAGAGTTGTGAGATCTTTGTAATTGCAGACAGAAGGGTGAAGATTCGTGGGTCGGTAACAGCCCATCATAGGGAGAATGCAAACGAAGACAGTGGATTTGTGTTTATTAAAGGGAAGGTGTATGGTGTTGGTGATGTGTATTTAGGTAGAGCTAAAGGTGCCTATTCCAGGGTAGTTTTTGCAAACACCTATATCTCCAAGACCATTACACCACAAGGATGGACTAATTGGAGCTACTCCGGCAACACAGAGTAAGAAAACTCGAAATTCATTCTTAATATTATATTTTTTTTCTTTTTCTTGAATTTTTCAAATATGGATTTCAAGATTTCACTTGGTCAGATTTACTAATATGGTGATGAACATCCTTAAAGATTGGTTTGAAGGCCAAGGTATATATTTCAACCTTTTCTAACATCAAAAATTTTGTGAACTGAGACAGAAATCTATACCAAGCAGAATACAAGTGTCATGGACCGGGAGCTGATTCCAAAGATCGCGTGCATTGGTCAAAACAACTCAGTGACGAAGAAGTTGCTCCTTTTCTGTCTATAGACTTCATCAATGGCAAGGCATGGCTTCTGGCATGGCTATGATCAAAGTTCAACACCAGTGAAGAATCGATGCCAGTGGGTAATCCAATAATTTAAGTCTTCTAAAAATCTGATTAACTAACATTAATATACAGTCTGTAACCATATGATAGAATGAAGCTTGGTTGATTTAATCATTTAAGTCTAATAAAAGCCTGATAAACTAACATTAATTTGCAGTCTGTAACCATATGATAATATAGAGCTTTAGTTAGATAAACTTTCAGTTACTAAGCTACTTGTACATGTGTCCAATTCAAGTACAATGAAATTTAAAATCTCTTCTCAATTCAACCATTAGCCATAGCTGCTGTTGTGTTTTTCTTTTTCTCTTTTAGGATTTCATAATGACATTTGTTTTCTCTCACATAAATAAATAAATAAATAAATAAAAAGTAGAAATAAATAAATAAAAGAGGTTGAGAAAATAGGTGGCAGTTAATTATGTATGAGACACCATGGTAGTATGATGAAAATTTTCCAATCTTGTAACAGATTCATTTGAACACCAAACGTAATGCACTATTATGAGTCTTCTTGAACATTGATATGTTTCTTCTAGTCTCCCTTGGTCTTTTGGTTGCAGTGACAATCATCTTCTCAAGTGGCTTTGCATGCTTGATTAAATATTTTACTAGTTCAATTTCGCTTTCAACATCCGTTATCTCAAGTTTCGCTACCTTCAGCTGACGAATAAATGCAAGATTCAGAGATTCCCAATAGTGTATGTCGAAGATTGACTGAAACAAGAAAAACAACTGTGTTAAAAAACAAAGAAAATTTTAAAAAAAAGAGCAGAAAAACAATTGATTAATATAGTGTGTCCGCCACATTACTTGAACACTGTCACGGAGTTCTCTGTCACGGAGTTCTCTATAGCACTTCATTGTCAGTGTCTTTAGATTAGGCAATCTTGTAAGAAAGTAGGCCAGTGCAAGGACTTTGTAATCCTTTATACACAAATCTTGTATATTCAAGTTCTGTACATTATGGAACAGAGGTAGTTGAAAGTCTTGTACAAAAATCAGCTACAATAGCACAGCAACACAAGTCAGATGCGAACAATAGTTAGCATATTAGAGCAAATACAACTGATGCTACAGAAAACAATGGGCATTTGCCCCTCCTCAAACGAAGGTTGAGTATTTGAGTTGTGCTAGGGATGGCAACAGACAGGTTTGGGGCAAGGGACCCCAACCCCATCCTCGTTCTCATTTAGCATAGCTCCTATGTCCACCCAAAACTATTCATTAAATGAAGCGAAGCGAGGCGGGATGGAAAACGATGTTAAGATAGTATTGTAATTATATAATGAATCTAACAAAGATAAATAACAAAACAATTCCACGCCGATAAGAACAAGTTTCAAATTCTCAATTAGAACTTGATATTTAATATTATTGTCTAAACATCATAATAATACATAAATTCTCAAATCATAATATTTATACAAAATGATATCTAGTTATTGGAATATGATAACCTAGAGTATGCTTAATATAACAGGGTCAATCCTAACCCGCGTCCCACCCCCAAAAGCATTTTTTCACTCCCATAATCATTCTAAACAGTGTCAGGATAGGATTTGGTGTTTTGTGATCATCAAGGACGGCCTAGGAAATTGTGTGAGGGGGAGGTAATAGGGGAATTTTCTTATAATTTTGGAGGAGGGGGGAAGGCAATATTAAAATTTCATAGGTATATAATTCAAAAAAAGAAAAATCACAACTATATAACACTATAAATAAAATAAAATAAAATTTAATGGGGGCAATTGCTCCCTCTGCCTACACACTAGGTCCGTTCCTGTTTGTCATCCTCACATGCTAGAGGCCTCAAGCGGGACAAAACCATGAAGGTGTGCATTTGTTTGATCTTTAAAAGAAAAGAAAAAAAATACAAGTGATTGAACTTATAAGCATATAGTAAGATGTGGCGATCTTGTGGGCGGATGTGTGTGAGCGTGTGTAGGAGGCATCTGTAGGCTACCACATTGGACAAGCTACAAATGCATAATCTCACATCGTCTGGGAGTGAATGGGGCAAGTGCTATAAGTAGATTCAACACCCTTCTATGACACAATGCATTTTAAAGCTGTGCTAACCGTGAACTCACTAGAACTCCAAAGTTAAGCGTGTTTAACCTGGAATAGTACCAAGATGGGTGATCCTTGGAAAGTCTCTAGTCCGGCAGAGCCAAAAGTAAACAATATTGTGTCTAGCTAGGATGGGTCGTTACAAATGGTATCAAAGCCTGACCCAGCCAGAAATACCAGAGCCTGACCCAGCCCAGCAGGAAGTATGGCCAACGAGGACGTTGGGCCCAAAGGGAGTGATTGTGGCGACATTGTGGACGGGGTGTGTGTGAACGTGTGCATGTGACACCAATAGACTACCACACTGGACAAGATACAGGTGCACAATTCCAAATAGCATGCAAGAGAATTGAAAAAATAAAAAATAAACAAACAATGACAAGAAGAGAAATAGCATTCAGGCAGGCAGCTAGTGCCTGATCGGTACCTCCATAACCTTGCCGCTTAGTTGTACGGATTTGGCTTGGCTGACAATCTGTAAAAGCCCAACCAAGCAATTCCTAGGAAGATCCCTAGGAAGATTTTTTAATTCTCTATCATAACTGTACCGTGAAGTGAAAATTTTGACACTTTGTAGGCACATGAATTTCACTTGGAAACAATAATCTGTAGGATAAAAAATGAAACCTTCACACTTGAAATTTTGAAGTTTTGGAGCAAACATTGTAAATGACATGCTTACGGGTTCATGGTGGGATGAGTTTGGATAGGACCAGTATACAGAAAAGTCATGGAGTCCCGGGGCATACACTTTGAGAGAGCGAAGAGAAGTGCTCATTCTAACAGTCAAACATTCAAGTGATGTAGTGTTGATGTTGAGAGTGTTACAACCAGCAAATCCATCATCAATATTCAACACTTCGAGTGAAGGGAAGAGAGATGAAACCCAATTCTCAGGCAATTCCATATCAACTTGGACTTTTGGAATTGACAAAACCTGAATTGAACTGAAAGGCTTATAAGAAGTACAAAAGTTGGAGGGTAGTTTGAGAAAACCAACGTCTTGAACTCCATCACGAAGTATTTTCAATTTGAACACTCTTAAGGATTTGCAATTGAAGATGCATGGTGGGAGCTGAAATTCAACTTCTTGATTTTTTGTTGTGAAAGTAAGATCAAATTCTTCCACATTACACTTGACTGCATTGCGAATCCATGTGTCAAAACGTAGTTGTTGTGACAGCTTTTCATCGTGGATAAACCACATACAAAAACATCGAATCTTCGTCCCATCTCGAAGAAAAAGATATCTCTCAATCCAATTATTGAAGCATTGACGGCTCCATATGCTTTTATATGGTTTGGAATCGAAGTGCAAGTCAGGGACTGATAAACAGAGATGTCTAAATCTTTTCGAAATCAGGCTGGTTCGAGCCAAATATTTAATGGGAAGGAAGGAGAGAATTTCACGAATAAGGTCATCATCTAAACCCTCCATGATCAGTACCATGAGAGACCTAGTGTGAGGCCATTAATATAAATTGTTTCCATTCCTAGTTGTAATCTGATTAACTTAATTTGTTTCTCTTTCTTTTTTTTCCGGTAATTCAGTGGCTTAACTTCATAGTTCTAATTCTATAATAAAAGGAAATAAGCTTTTAGAGGTGTAACTTTATTTTATATATATATATATATATATATATATATATATATATCTCTTTCGGACTTTTTTTAATTAGGGTTAGACCTTTGCCTCTGAAACTTTATTAACTAACCGTCGACTCTAATGCTATGTTCGGTAGGAAGGAAAGAAGATGGGTGAAAGGAAAATAGGAAGAAAGGAACAAATTTCTTTCATTCCATAGAGATGATGATATAAGGAAAGAAAAATAATAGAGAGGAAGGATGAGTCCTCCTTCACAAATTTTTATTCACTCAAAAATAGGCAAAAAATAGAAAATAAGACAATTGAGCCTATTATAAAAGTTTTAAATTACTACATCACCCTTAATAAATATTTAATAAATCCCATAAATAAAGTAGTAATAGGTTTAATGGTAAAAATAACTTAAAATTTTATATTTCCTTTTATCCCACCGATCAAATTAAATTGTAGGTTTTTTCATTCTCTTCTATCCAACCGAACAAAAATAGGGAAACACTATCTTCCCTAGGGATGTCTCCGTCATCCCTTCTTCTCTCCCTACTATTTAATTTTTTTTTTTTACTTCCTACCGAACAGAACATAAAAGTTTAAGTTATTAGAGAAGGTCTTTAATATTTATATCATTCAACACTAGGGTTTCTCTTTCCTAATTGGCTTCCAACTTTCTTTCTTTTTTTATTTTTGGTAATTCATTGGCTTCCAAGTTCCAACTTCACAATTTTTAATTCTATTCCACCTAATTAAAAAATAAAAATAAAAAAGTTCAATGGAACCTAAGAAGCACCCGTGTCCTAAATTTTGAATATTTTATTTTTTGGTTGGACACGTTTTTTTAAGGGAGCACATTATACACTAAATACATATTTACATAATAATGTATATATACATATAAATTAGTGTTTATGGAGTACGTATAGAGAGAGACACACATGTGGATATATATAAAGAGATTGATAATTTTGAAATGAGGTAAATTAATAAATTACACATATAGAATATAATAATGAAATAACTTGAAAAAAAAAATTAAGAAAACATATAAAGTATACAAGGTAAGAAGATATTTTAGGGGGCAATTTTATACATTTTCAAAAAATATATACATATTATAAGAAAATATATATAGAAAAATAGGGAAAGGAAAAATAAATCCTTGCAATAATCTACTCTCTATTTTCAGAAAGTAAAATTGTTACACTTCAATCAAATCCTTTACATTTTTACTCTTTCTTCTATTTATAGAAGTTTATCCTTACCCTAATAATTCCTTGGATCTTTTTAAACTCTGAAATAATATGGGCTTAGTCCTTCTTCAATGGGCTCATCCTTCGATTGGGTCGATCTCTAAGTCAAAATGGGCCTCTCACGAGAAAGAATAGGCTGGGAAGTTGCCGGGCCTCCTCCTTAATTTGTGGGCCAGGCTGGACTTGGCCCAGTGAGATTTTATGCCCCCTCATCTGCCCCCTTTAACGTCTCTCTCATTCCTGTGGACCTTTGAAAGTGTGGAATTTAATATCTACTCGAGTTATGCTAAACATGTTGTAT